CTGCAAACGTGGTCGTTCATTCTCGCTTCTTGTCTTTTCTGTCACTTCCCAGGTCTGGAGCTACTGAAGAACTGGTGTGTCAAAGGGTACCACACTGGGGCAGGGGCGGATTTGGCCCAGATGGTGCGTATGGCTGTGGGTAAGCTAGGGAGAGGTGGTTGTTTGCCAGAGCAGAGTTGGGTGCAGGTGCTTGTTCTGCACCTGTGGCCCCTGCCCTACCTGTTTGCCCTCTTCCCTCTCTGCCAAGTCCTCCAGGAGTCTGGAAAAACCCATGCTTCTCTATTTCCCACCAACATGAAATCCACTCGGTATATCAGATCTGCAAGCACTTTGCATCTGAATATCCTTGGGTGTGCTGGGCACAGCCCTACATATTTGGCACCTGGTCTGCCTTTTGTTCCCCTCCATGAGGGAGCCGTCTCCATCTGTCACTCCTGTGCCTTACAGCAGGCTGATCCAGTGAAAGGAACCCACTCTTTTGACCTCAGGATGCTCTGCTCCCACTTACAGCAGAGGGATTCATTAAGCAGAGAGCAGACTGCTCTGTTTGCTATTCTGGGAACAGTGTGGTGGCAGTGACAACGCACAGCAGTTTAAGGCAGTTCAAGCTGAAGCACACTAGAGCAGCCTACAGCAGAGCCCAGCAGGCTTGAGGGATTTTTGCAATGACTTAAATAGCCATTTGGTTGTCTTTCTCTCCTCCTGCAGTGGTCGTTGCCAAAGTCTTTCTTCCTCCAGAAGAGCAGTGTTCAATCAAATGGCTTCAGCAAACTGGAACTGGGCAGACTGGGGTGAGTTTGCGCTGGCTGTGACATGCATGATGTTCACAGCATGGCTTTAGGACTGGTGTCCTGAGAGAGAACTGGAAGCAGGGAAAGCAGCTTTTTTAAGGGGAGTGGTTGGCTTGCAGGCTCTGAAGCCAGCCTCCGCTGTCTGGAGAGCCAGCTGGTGGGGCTGGCATTATGTCTGTGCGACTGGGCATGTCTCCTTGGCACTGCACGCTCAGCTCGGATGGGAGTGAGGCCCAGAACAGCTGGACTGGGTGATGTTTGGGGTTGTTATAGTCAGGACACACTGGCAAGATGTTCCCCACAGGGACCCTTACCACTTCTGTGGACTTTGACGTGGCCAGCAGCGAGCAGAGGCTCTTGGCCGCAGTGTGGGCTGGTGGAGCAGTGAGGCCTCCGGGACGGCTGCGCTCTGCCAGCTTCCCTGAGCAAAACTGGGCTGCAAAATGGGTGCTGCTGGCCCTGACAACGTCCTGCAGAGAGGTGGAGGACTGGGGTTCATCTGGGTGAGCTGCAGTGGAGGGCAGGCACACCCCTGGTCTCTGGTGTTAAGGGAAAGGGCATCCCTGCTCCTGTGCCCAGGCCAGGAAGGAGTTGGGTTTGCACGCGGCCATGTAGATCGAGCTGTGACCCCGAAGTCCCATCACTGTCTTGGATGTCTGTTGGGGTGACTGATGCTGCCCAGGGTGGAGGATGGAGTAGGGGAGCCTGGCAGCCTCGCCTCTGAGCCTGTGTATGATGATACCGCAGACGAATGTTGCACCAAGGCCCTTTTTGATCCTTTCTCGCTGTCCTTAAGCGGCACGGGGTCTCCTTTCTCCTGCAGCTCACTCCTCCCTTCAGCCAGTGAAGACCTCACGCAATGCCTGGAGCGCAGCCCCACGCAGAGCTTACCGCTCAACAAGTGCACGGGTGGAGCCGACCAGAAACCTGCTGGCTGCCTCTCGGACACCGCCCTGGTGATGTGACCAGGCAGCTGCCGTCCCTCCCCGGGGACACCTCAACCTACCTCAGAGGAAGAAACAGGAGCTGGCTCCGGAGAGCGCGGACTGTGAGAGCCCCCTGCGTTGCACACTTGCCTGTGGGGGCTGGTTTTAGAAAGGGGTGTTTTACTGGGCAAAGGGGAGAGAGCTGTGTGACTTCTGTTTTTAGAACAAGTGGCAAAGCCTGGGGACGTTGAATTTGTCTGGCTTTTCTCCTAGGCTGCTCTTAAAGCCTGATGTGGTGGTGGTGGTGGTTTCTTTGCTGCATGGGAGCTGGCTGAGCTCGGAGCCAGCCTGGCCTTGCTCGCTTGTGTCCCCGTGCACTTGTCCTGAGCTGCTGGGAGCAGAGTCTGCTCCTGCAGCCTGTCCCGCAGGGAAACGTCCCCAGCTACCTCCTCTGGAAAGGAGCAGGGCTTGGGATGTTGAACGGACCCATCTCATCCCTTCTGAACGCCTGTGCCTGCCCTCCCCCAGCCTTGGGGCCTGCACGTGGCTGCTGGAGGGAGCCCAGGGGTGCTGGGGTGGCTCTGGTTTGTGGTGGGGACAGCAGGGCTGCTGGGGTGGGAGCGTCCCCTCGAGGCTGTTGGCTCTGGCGGGGTGGCCTGCAGTGGGCATGCCGGGTCTGCAGGCTGGTGCTCTCCTGGGCTCTGCTCTCTGTTTTCCCTTAATTTCTCAAGGATTTGTATAAAAGTTTTAACACTCAGCTGCTCTCTTGGCCTCTATCTTCCACCATTTCCCCAGCCGGTTTGGGTCCACGGGGCAGCTCAGCTCTCCCTGCGCTCTGCTGGGCTCTGGTGTGAGTAGGGTTTGTGCCATCCCCCCGCCGTTCCTCTGTCCTCCCTGGAGCTGGGGTTGTTCCTGCTGCCCCACGGCCGGTAACCCTGCCCCCCTGCATAGGGGAGCGGCTTCCAGCGTGGCTGCTGGGGTCTGGGGTCTCTCCCCCAGAGAATTGGGCAAGGGAGACAGAGCAGCCCAGCCCTGCAGCAGGGGAAGGAAGGCTCGGGTCCCCTGAGCTGCCCCTTGCCCCCTCTCGAGCTCTGTCCCCTGGACCTGGCAGGGGGATGCTGGACGCTTGGGTGGGTTGCTCGGGGCCAGGGTACGGGGTGAGCCCCGGGCTCGGGGGCTTGCAGAACGCCCTTCCCTCCCCTCTCCCTGCAGTCCCCCGCTGCCCGGCGCTGGGCCCTGTTTCTCCGGTCTCCTTGGTGACAATCTCCTCGCTCCTCGGCTTGTCTCCAGCACC